TGCACACATTTTTTCAGCATGGGCTGGTTCTGTTACACTTTGTAGTAGTAGGTCTACTACAGGCAACTGAGTGGAAAACTCAGCTTTACATAGAACTAGTCTTGAGTCTCAATATGTTTTTGAATAAATAGGGAAAGTCTGACGTGTTGCAATTTTCTACCAGTTTATGAATGTCCAACTTACATATTTGCAATTATAACTACAATTCATAAATACAAGGCACCAGTGAGAAATATTGCTAGCTTAGGAGCCCTTTTTGGTCTGATTCTTCAAGAGTTTGGCTTATAGTTCAAATCGACCAAAGTCACCACTCCACTCAGAAACGTCAACTAGTAGGAAAAGCATTACTGTCTCCATTAATTGCAATAACCATCAACCCTGGCCCTAAGAAGCGGGAAGCTCATACACAGAACACAGCTCCTTGTGCATTGCTAAGTGAGGAGGTTAATGGGATTCTAGGAAAAAATATTTACTAAACAACACAAAGATTTATTTCTTTGGAAGCATCCAAGGCATTATCTGTGTTGTGCCGCCTTCTGCCAAGTTAGTAGACTTCCACTTCTTAAATGTGCAAGGAAAAGCAAGCTTGAGAGTGCAAATATTCTGCTTAAGGAGAATATAAAAATAAATTCCATGGCATATTATTCCCATATTGAAGGTTTTTAAGGTAAGACTGGATAAAGCCTGGAGCAACCTGGTCTGCCTTCAGAGCTGACCCTGCTGTGAGCAGGAGATTGGACTACAGCTCTCCTGAGGTCCCGTCCAGCCTGAACCATCCTCTGATGCTGCCTGTGCAAAGATTCATGGCCCGGGTGTCACAAAACCTGGAGGTAAAGCAAGGGAGAAATCCCAGCCCCATTCCCAGGCGGACACTGCAGCCCCTGCTAAGACCAAAGCCAAAGGCTTTGTACAGAGAATAGTTGCAAATTGCAAAATACTGCAGAAGCAGAACTGAAAGGTGTCTACATGGTCATGAATTAGTTATTTAGAACATGCTGTTTGATGACTTATTTTTTCTAAGATGAAAAACTATTCCTATACAACTATTAAGTTTTTTATGAGTGCTTAGCACAGCAGATCCAGCAGTACTGCAAGTTCATAAAAACAGCTGCTTTTTAGCAAGAGTGTATGCAGTTCTGTGTAGAAGGGCAATCAAAACTGTCACTTTGTACAATATAATGGAGCAGGACACTTGTCATCCTAGAGGCTAAGCTCACTCAGCTACTGCAGGTAATACTAGAGATTTATTTAAATTAATCTGCAGGAAAATTAAATCCATTACCTTAAAAAGCAAGGGAATAAATCATATCCAACAGGAAACCAGAAAAAGCTGCTGCCATTTCAGTCGAATCTCAGGTTGTGTGAGCACATGAAATTTTTCCTCGTCAATGACATAAAAACAATTCATAGCAGGAAAAATAATATCAGCTGTTGTTATAATGCAAAACGCAAATACGCTTAATGAGTTTAACACTGCAGCTGAAGTATGAAGAACATCTCAAGCTGTTTGTATTTCCAAACAAGACTTGAGGGGTCAGAGGAGGGAGGAGGACATGTGGGCAGGCTGGAATGATGGATGGCGTTTAGTGGCATGCTGTGTTTGGGTCTACTCTTGTTATTTTTGCAACAGGATGTCTCTGATTACTCTCTGAATAGAGAATAAGGATGGTTACGTCTCATTGCTCAAAGCGAACATTTTTTTCAGAGCCTTACAAATTAAATAGGACATCTTAAAGCAAGCAGTCAATGAACTATCAGGTGCTATTTGTCACAAATCTAGCAGCAGTGTCAGAAGATTCCCTGGGGGCATCAGCAGTGGGTTTGGGGCTGGCAAATAAGGTATATGTACTCTTGTCCTATGTAGAGCAGACCCCAGCTCTGCAGAGTCCTTCTGTGGCATTGCCTGTACGGTTTGGTCCAGGCCACATGATATAAAATACATACAGCAGGGGCACACTAAGCCCTAAACCATTTCAGCTATAAAGTTGGTGCAATATAGAGAGGACTTCACAAAGGATGGAGGTCAATTGCTTTTCCAAATCCCATCCTTCCAGAGATCTTTGCAGAACCGGCCCCTGGCTCACAGGGTGCTGCCTGCAGCGATGGTCAGGCCAAAGCTGCCTAACTTAAACCCTTCTTGAGAGTCACCAGTAAGATAATGACACTCTGTCCCCAGCCAGACCTCAGAGGCCATGACGACGTTCGCACTCCATGGTGCAGCCCTGCCCAGGGAGCATTTCTTTGAAAGCTACTGAGGTTCCTCACTGGTGCCAAAGGACACTGCAAGTCCTCAGCGACTTGTAGAAAAGGTTCAGATGTGGGGACTTGGGAACGATGTGAACGTGTGTGCAGGGAAACAAACCCACCCAAGTGTTGCCAAGATAGGGGGGGTTGTGTTGTTTTTTCAAAGTAAAGGCTTCAGGCAGAGAGGAAGGAGAGAAATGTTGGAAGCAAGGTCAGTTAGAACTGACAGCTGATCTTAAACCTAACTAAACTTGGGGCTGAAGCTGCAAATGGAGGCCACAAAGTGAAACACATGGGAATAATTTCTCTACAACAGCGTAACATTTCCTAATGAGCCAGCTCCATGAATTAGCTTATCTAAAATAGAGACGCCAGCTCCTCCAGGGCCTGGATGACTCAGTAACACCAAGGACCTCTCACTGGGAGTTACCAGTTTGATTCTGGCCCAAGCTCAAAGTGACTAAGAACTGTCTTCATGATGCCACAACCTCTATAAAAAAAAGTCACCGGTCTCAGTGCAGTTTCTCGGTGGGCAGAAGTTCACATCAAAGCCACCATCGAAAGCCTTTCCAAGGAGATGCAGTGAGTTAACAACCTTCTCACTCTTCAAAAGGGATCTCAAGCTCAGGACTGGACCATACAAAAACTGGTATGACTCTGCTACACATACCGACCAGTTCTGTAACAAGGACTATGCAAAATAAATAAAAAGGAAAGAAAGACAGAAAGAAAGACGGATAAAAGGAAGGAAGGAAGGAAGGAAAAAGGGAGAGAAAGAGAGAAAGAGAGAAAGAGAGAAAGAGAGAAAGAGAGAAAGAGAGAAAGAGAGAAAGAGAGAAAGAGAGAAAGAGAGAAAGAGAGAAAGAGGAAATCACAATATATTTACAAACGGTGCAAATGAAGGCGGGTCGTAAAATGATGTCTCGTTTGCACTGGGTATCACAGATGTTGTAACACAGAAGAATTAAAAATGCACCAGACATTTCATGATGTGAAGCAGCTAAAGAGAAGAAAATGTCAAAACTCAAATGTCAGACATTTTGGGCAAGAACTCTGTACATACCCCAAACTCTCTGGACTCCTTCCCAGACCCAAGACACCAGCCTCTTACATACAATTTATCCGTCTCTGTCTAGTCTGTTTTTGACTAGTTTTAGCATAACCGTTCAAGGGTTTTATTTCATGAGCCAGGAAGGAAAGAGTTCAAGGAACACCAGGGAATATATGGCAAAATATAACAAGGTTAGATCACTTGCACTGGATTATTCTTCTCTGGCACACCGCAGAAGAAATAACCCCAGTCAAGGTCTGCATGTTCAATGGTCTACAGGGAACGAGACCGGCATTATTCAAGGTAAGTGACACTTTAAAGAACTTTAAATTAGCTGTTGACAGTCAGGTAGATAGATTGATGAGTGATTACATGAAGTCCCCAACATTACCATTTTGTGAAAGCAAATATGAAGGGGGGGAAGTAAGAAAATCCGTTAAATATGGTTTTGCCAATCTGTGGTGCATTCAGATGACAGTGAAGTTCGTTTAAGGACACTGGAAACGTATAAAATAAATTGCTTTCTCTGAATCAAAAGTTGACAGAAAGTTTCCCAGCTATACTTTTGACTCCAGAAAACACTGCAAGCCATGCTAGTAGACTATGATTAAAAAAAAAAATGAATCCCCCCATCATCTTTCTTCCTAACAAGTGTTCCTTCTTTCAGGGCTAAAGGATCACATTCAAGCGGAGCAGAAGTGCAGCTCCTCTGAACTGCACAATTAAGGCTGACTTACTATATGTACAACAGATGCCCTCACTGCAGTGGTCCCTAAAATATGTTTTTAAATAAAATTAACTCAAGTCAGGAATCTGTAATTAGCACCATCTTCGAGAACAAATCGGAACAAGTTTATTGAAGTGCTTTAACTATTTACAATGAGAGTGAATTTACCCCCAAGGTTCACTTTACTATTTTGTCTCAATTTTCTTGTAATTTCATCCATCACATTTTTTTAGTCCTCCAAAGGTGATGGATAAAACACAGAATAAATAGGACCAACTGTTCGCAGAAGCCTAAGGGAAAACATAATTTTGTTATAAATAATCCTTGGCACAAATCATGGAAATGCAATACTAAAATTGTTTGTTGAATCATTTATGAATTGGGCCTTCAGTTTTAGTTTGCAAATAAGTTAGAGTTTTTTGTTGATGTTCTTTTTCACTTTGCTTTTTTAGCTGGAAAACAGCCTTTGAGAAACTGAACTGATATATAATCCAGAAAACAGAATGAATGAAAGTGTTTGTTTTTTTTTTTTTTTTTAAGGGATTCCCTATGCTAATAGGGAATTCTTGGGGGCAGGGGAGGGAGGGATTTACTTATGGATGATGATAAACTAAATGATGACAAATTTTTACGTTATTTTCATAAGATGCCACCATTGTGAGTTTTCACCCCAGCTTTATGCTAAACACGCAGAAAAGGCAATGACAACATGGTGCTTTACAAAACCACTAAAAACCCTCCGATTCTGCTGTCTTGAGAAATTCAGTATTTTAGAGGACAGCTGATTACCCAAACTCCTCACATGAAAGTTATAAACATGAAGAAATATTGACGAACAGAGAGGTGCATTTCTTTCTTAAGTCTTTTGTCTGAAATTGCTATTTTTTGTCACCTGAAGAGAGAGAGAAGCTTGGAGATAGATAAAAGCAATGTGAAGACTCATTTCTCATTAGCCGGAGCAGGTGTGCATAGCCTTACCTGATCTGTCCTCGCACCAGTGGTCTGTTTTTTGTCCTGTTCATATTTGAGTCAAACGGAACCTCAAAGAACTGTAATAAAAAAAAAAAAAAAAAAAAAGGAGGAATCAAAATGAAAGGATGCCGGAAAGCATGCCATGCGTGGAATGTACTGTCTGCATCTGCAGGTGCTTTAATGTCTATTTTTGAAGGTTCAGAAATACAACGAAAATGGCAAACTCCTTTTACGGAGCTTTGATAGTCTGCATTAATGTTTTTGGCATCCCCTTAGAAAGAAAATCACCTGGAGGACAAAAATAGTTTGCACAAGTCCCCAAAAGTTAATTTGAAGTAGAGTTTGATTCCAAGTTCTGTTCTCAACAGGTTTGACACAGCTTTTATACGTACACAATTATATATACACATACATACAGCCGTGGCCCCGGTTTTATATTAATACAAACAGCCCTTGCAAATGTTGTGCTTCTGGTATTTAAAAGACAAACACTAATTTTTTTTCAAGAGCATCTAACTTCTGAGAACCTATAACCCACCCCAAATCAATCAACTCCTGTAAAATGCTACTGGAACTGCACTGAGCATCTAGTTCTAGCAGGAGGGAATGAACACACCATATGGTGTTATTTAATGTCACAACCCAATTCGACTTTAAACACCGCCTATGGGAAAATTCAGGCGGCACTATCTTCACGCTAGGAATTCCTGCAGGCTTTTGTATGATTCGTTTTATAAAGAATGTTACTGGAAAAGTTGAATGCACTTTGCCATACAGCAAATTGTAAAGCCGTTTAGTTTGACGTGTGCAAAATAATAATAAAAATAATAAGCATATATTTATTTATAAAAAGAGTAGTATGTATTTATAGAAATAATATTTTCTACTGACGTTATGTCTGAGGTTTTGGGGTAGGATCCCAATTATGGTGAATATGTAGGAAAAGTACCATAACAAATCATCATTTCAAACAATCAGACTGACAGTAAGCTCAGTATAATCAAACTGCAGACAGATTTAAGGTGACTATATGATAAATGACTATATGATAAAATCTATGTTATTCCAGCAAGCTGATGTAACCTTTTACACAACAGAAGACAAAATTAACAAACGTCTTCATTTTGACAGTGCCACATTACTGGCCTTGCTACTTAACAGGGCTGCATTCCCAGGGGAATGCCAGCGGACAGGGACATCAGGAGCAGCAGGGACCCCGTCAGAGCCCTAGAGGTGCACATCAGAGGAAAGAGGCGTCATTTACAGGCACACAGAGATTACAGGAACCACCTTTCCAACCTATTACTTTGAAGTAATGACTGTATAACAATTTGGGAACCTCTGCTGTTGCTCCTATGTATTGCAAGCGTGGCAGGGATCGGATACCCATGGATCACCCTGCCTGACACGGCCACATATTCTCCACTCATGGTGACATTTTTAACCTCAGGTTGAATTATCTTCCTGATGGATTTAACTATTCCCAGGAATAAGGTTATAAGAAAGTCCTGTATGCGTATGGGTGAGAGCGAGTGCGTGCACGTGCTCAAGCCCACACGCTAAAGTTATCCTGCCTAAACACAACTTGCTAACAGTATGCTCTAAAGCCAAGAAATTTGGCAGCAGGCATCATCTTCATGTTTTGTCACACTTGTGAAACTGTCCAAACCTGGGAAAGAACGAGACTCAGGCGAGGAAGAGAGGGGAGAAGGTCGAGGAAGCAGCAGAGCTAGCAAGGGGGGCACTGGCTGGGGGACCCCAAACCTGCACTCCCCCCTGCTAGCCAGCATCTGTGAAACCCCCTGGAAAAGCAGTTGCCTCGTCCCCCTCTAGTGGCTGGCCAACACAAATTAATGGGTAATTACTGTTGTTAACTCAGCTGAAGCCTGTGCTGCATATTAAAGTCCTCAGTTTGTCCATGGTGGATCCAAAAACTGCCATGGTTCTGCAGGGGAGGAATCCTGCATTTGTCAGTTTGCGTTAAAGGTTGCAGATTAAATGCTCAAAAGTTAAGAAATATAAAAGCATGGGAATTGAAGTCATCAACGCAGCTCTTAATTACTAGTTCCCATCCAATTCACTAAAACGTCTCGCCTCCATCTGTGCAGTGGAGCTGGCTGGGGCTACGCAGCTTTTAGATGGTTCACTCTCGGTAAGCCTCCATCCGAAGCAACTGGATGGAGCACCCGACCCAATCCCAATCCCAACCGTCTCTCAAAGCCTTCCAATTTTATTATTGATAACCCTGAAGCAAACTCAGGCTGCTCAGCCAAGAGTTACTCACGCAAAAGAGAAAGGGACTTCAGGAAGAAAAAGGGTTAGTTTATATGTCTTTCACCTGTCAAAGCATTCTGGTACAGTACTAGGCAACTCATGTATTTTTAGGTAGGCAGCTCACAGGTTATTTCTTATCCTCTGTTTGTTATGCCTGACCTGCAGTGGCAGTGGTCTCTCCCAGCTACAACCGAAGCTGGTGGAGACCCTGGCTGAGAAGAAAGGCACAGAGGAGGCAACGGAGCAGCTACAAGCCCCAACACAGGGAGCCCCGGCAGCTCCCTTCGGAGGGACAGGTCGGATCGGCATGGCTACAACGCTGCCCTTGAAGCGTTGGATGTTTCAAAAAGAACCTCTATAGGAAACCACAATGAGTACCTTCGGAGAAGGGAAAGCACCCTGTTTGGATCCGAAACCAGTGATTGCTTCTGACAGCTCAGCATTTTGCTAATGGTTTGTTTCACTGTTACATTTCAGAGACAATTATGCTAAATGAAGAAAAAATCTCATTTGACATCAGACTGGTAGAGCAATACAAGGGAAAAATTCTATACAGCTAAAGTATTTTCTCCTGAAAATATTTTGAGCTACGCTCAGTTTTGCTTTGTTTTTAAATACACAATTTTCCCTGTATTTCTGTTTGCGAAGTCTGACTGCCGTGAGCTTACTTCCAGTTTAAATTTGTACATGTGAGGAGATTCTGGCTCATTTGAGAGTATTTAAGCCTACTGATAAAGGTATTCCGTGTGCAATGGATAAAATCAAAATAACGCACAGGTTTTAAACTCAGTGTCTCTCAAACATAAAATGACTGAAATGAAGAACAGCTGGACTCTCAACACTGTTGAAAGGATTTAAACTTACGCAGTTGAGTTATCAGTATAACCTGACAATACCATAATCAGTGTATGAAATATTTCCATATATTTAATATTGTAGTTAACCCCTGAACAGAATATAAATTTTGAACAAGAAACTTCTCTGCTGACTTAAGTAGTCAAAAAATGTCAGTCTCTGTTGTATACAGACACGGCTGCTCCCGAAATTAAGATTACTGCATGACTTAAGTCGGAATTTTTTCGCTTTTTTAAATCTGACAATCTGAATAATCTGTTACTGTCAACTGTACGCACGAAACTACATATCCGATTGAACCACAGTTAAGAAAAATCCTTTTATTTGCAGTGCCCCAGATTCTTTCACTGAGCTAGTTGCTATTACATGTCAGCAAGATGCCATTTATCAAACTTTTCCCATTTTGCTCCCAGATGTTCAGAAAAATTCTCTCTCCACTTGAAATTATTTTCCCCTGATATTCTAGAAAAAATGAAAAAAATGTGCATCTCAAATATCATTCCATAGGAATGAAAGAGTGAACTCAAACATATTATCTCATGCCAGGCCAGCACTGTACAGTCTGTTTTAGCAAACAGTAAATTCCATAAGATGAATCCTGAATAAATAAATATTTTAGAAGCACTCAGGAGGCTTTTTCAGGAAGTCTGAATGCGTCAATTCAGCTGGACAAGGCAGAATATTATCTGCCCTAGGTATTTGGGAAGCCAGCCATCCAAAGGACAGACAGAGGGTTAAATCTACAGCATCTAAAAATCCCTGAGTGACAAAACTTGGCAACAGCTTTCAAGACCCTAACCTAAATTTTAATCAGTGTGCATGAACATTTAAAACACGATAATGGAAAAAAATAAATCAGGCCAGCTAGTACTTTGTGGTTTACTTCTCTGGCAGGCTCATCAGACTCTTTGTGTAGATCTCATCTAGTTAATACAAAGTAATTATATCTTAAACATCTAACAATTCTTAGATTAGCTGTCACATTACCGCTTATAGCTATTTACACTCATGGTTTTTTTCCTTCAGCTTCTTCATATTAGTTTCCACTTTGTTTTTAAGTGAAACGTTAAAGATTGTTTAATTTCTTCAAGCTACCTCCTGGAAATAGCAGTGAATGCAGAGGGTAGCTAATCATTCAGACTTCCTGGTGGACACATAGATTAATAATTTTATTTGGACTAAGCCAAGGTTCTCATAACATCACTTTGCAGATGCAGATGGCATTACGCTATGCCGGCACTTTGAGGACTAACATGATACAGAAAGTGCCTTTACAGGACGCCCTCGCTCTTCTGCGTCATCAGTTCAACACCGACACCACCTATTCAGTTTTCAAAGACAGTGGCCTGACTATTTACAGTTAATTAAGCCAGCGGAGCGGATGGAAAGCCCTGAGCACGTGCTGCGTTCGCCATCCGCGGTCATTCCTGCGGGAGAGATTTTAACTACTGAATTATGACAGTTCAATACCTTTACCCCTGTTCACACAAAAACGTAAATAGAGCGCATTAAGAGGAACAACACGTCATATAGTTTATCAAACACATCACCCACACTCAGGCTAGTAAACGTCTCTCGTATACCACTTTGGATTTAGAGCGTATCAAGCACCAGCCTGGCCCCCGTCCAGGGCCAGCTCTAATCTGTGACACATGGTGGAAACAGCAGCGGTTGAAATAGGCAACCGGTCTTCCATGTATTGACATAACATTTTACTCTAATGCTAAACACAAATTTACATCAGAACTGATAATCCCATGAGTCTAAAGACGGAGCGGAACCCTGCTATTAAAAGACAATTTAATTCAAGGCAACTCGGAGGTCTTCCCATCGCAAAACTACCCCTGCATCTGACCAGGCTTCATGTCCTCTTTGGCAGCAGAATTGCCCTCTGGGTGTATTTTTCTCTCCAAAGGCTCTCTGAAGGGCAGATCAGGGAATGAAAAGA